CCAACGTTTGGGTAGAACTGGTAAGAGAAGCAGCCCAAGCTTCACCTGTTATCTTTTATGTGTTGCAAATTATGGACCCTTTAACTCTGCCTTTCCTCCCCTGGAAGTCTTAAGAGCTAGTAACTTAATTTTTAGGGAGGTGGGGGGTGGGATACTGATAATTTTCCTAGCATCCTGGATTCTGGGTTTGGGAACTCTAGTTGTGCCTCTAGCTGAAATTTACCCTGGATTCAAATTTACCAGGAAGGAAGTCAGCCTCAAGACAGTAGCATGTTCCATTGCGAAATATCCACCAGGCCGGCCAGCGTGATTAACTGATTTCTTTGTTGGCAGAAATGGCATGATTACCGCCTGCAGTGGGATGCGGCTGATTACGACAACATCAAGTGTTTACGAATCCCCTCCACCATGGTGTGGCTGCCAGACATTGTCCTGGAGAACAAGTCAGTATCCTAAAGGGTTGTTCTCTTCCTCCTCTTCCTCCTCTTCCTCCTCTTCCTCCTCCAGCTCATCTGCCAGCTGGCTGCAGGTGAACTTGGGATTCCCCTTCTGTAGATAGGAGATGTGACCTAGCATGTCTCCTTGTAGCCAGGGAGCTTACTTGATCTTGGTGGGATCCTCCTGGGCTCCTTCCACAAATTAGTTCCCAGAGAAATTGCTGCGTTTGGGGGGAAAGAGTAGCCTTCACCCAGAAGGAGGCATTGTCTTTCTCTAGTTCAAAGAATCATAAAATTGAAAAGTTGGAAACGACCTCAGGAATCATCTAGTCCAACCACTGGCAATGCATGAATCTTTTGCCAAACATGGGGCTTGAACCCACAAACCTGAGATTAAGAGTGTCAGGCTCTACCGACTGAGCCCTCCCTCATGAACTAATTAGTAGGAAGAACAATTAAAACAGAGCTTACACGCAGCATTTAAGATTGCATTATATGAGCTAGCAATGTCCTTCCTCATAGAAGATCCTTTTAATAATATTGGTTGGGAACCTTCAGCCCTTGAGCGTATTTTAGGTCCCGAAAACATCTGGATTTGGCCCACAAGGGCTTTTGGGGCAAACTATGCCCACCTGTCTGTTACCAAGCAGATGCCATATGACATTAGACCAACCTAGCGGTTCGAAAGCATGTCAAAGTACAAGTAGATAAATAGGTACCATTCTGGCGGGAAGGTAAACAGCGTTTCCTTGTGCTGCTCTGGTTCACCAGAAGCGGCTTAGTCCTGCTGGCCACATGACCCAGAAGCTGTATGCCGGCTCCCTCGGCCAGTAAAGCGAGATGAGCACCGCAACCCCAGAGTTGGCCACGACTGGACCTAATGGCCAGGGGTCCCTTTACCTTTACCTTAAGCCCACCTGTCTGTTACCAGGCAGATGCCATACGACATTAGGTGCAGAGAGCTGTCACATCTTATCTAAGTATGCTGATCTTGGCACTAAGCACCACACAACTATGACTGGAGATAATCTTATCTCTGATCTTAGCGCTGTGGCACTTAGTGCTGAGATCAGAGACAACCCCATTCATTTGACTATAGACTGCCAAAAGGATCTTAAATAGTCTTAGAGAGCCAGGAAACAGAAAGGAATCACAAGGCTTTCTTGTAAAGGCCCCATAGCAGAGGGCAGAAGAGGCTCTTTTCCAAGATAAGAAGAGGGCTCCCCCCCCCCTATTTTCCTACTCTGTGGCAGCTCTTAGCTAGAAGGTGAGACTGCTCTCCTCTGAGACCAGCGCTAGGATAGGGAAGGAAAAAATATGCTGAGTTGCCTCCCCACAGCAGCACTGGGGCCGAAGAGGAACATCTCCTATCTCAGCGCTGGTACAGAGAAGATGAAAACACTGTTTTCTCACTCTTTAGCAATGAGTACAAGAGGAGCATCTCCTCCTATCTCAGCGCAGGTGCAGAGCAGAGGGGGGAAAGTGTTTCCTCGCTCCATAGCAGTGCTGGGGCAGGAGAGGAGAGTCTTCTATGTGTGCCTGCCTGCCTGCTTGAATGTACTTGTGTTGACCATGCCCACCTCTGCCAAGCATCCCTCTCAAGAGTGACCAACCTTCACTGCAGCCCTTGGGTCCCAAATGGCAGGAGAGCTCTGCTGCAAGAGGGTGGGGAAAGGGATCCTGGCTCTCCTGACCTCTTCCTGGAAGCAGTTGGATAGATGGCGGCTAACAGATTGAGGTTGAATCCTGACAAGACAGAAGTACTGTTTTTGGGAGACAGGAGGCGGGCAGATGTGGAGGATTCCCTGGTCCTGAATGGGGTAACTGTGCCCCTGAAGGACCAGGTGCGCAGCCTGGCAGCCATTTTGGACTCACAGCTGTCCATGGAGGCGCAGGTCAATTCTGTATCCAGGGCAGCTGTCTACCAACTCCACCTGGTACGCAGGCTGAGACCCTACCTGCCCGTGGACTGTCTCGCCAGAGTGGTGCATGCTCTGGTTATCTCCCGCTTGGACTACTGCAATGCTCTGTACGTGGGGCTACCTTTGAAGGTGAGCCAGAAACTGCAACTAATCCAGAAGGCGGCAGCTAGACTGGTGACTGGGAGCGGCCACCGAGACCATATAACACTGGTCTTGAAAGACCTACATTTGCTCCCAATACGTTTCCGAGCACAATTCAAAGTGTTGGTGCTGACCTTTAAAGCCCCAAACAGCCTTGGCCCAGTATACTTGAAGGAGCGTCTCCACCCCCATCGTTCAGTCCGGACACTGAGGTCCAGCTCCGAGGGCCTTCTGGTGGTTCACTCCCTACGAGAATGTGGTTACAGGAAACCAGGCAGAGGCCCTTCTCAGTGGTGGTGCCCTCCGTAGAACGCCCTCCCACCAGATGTCAAAGAGAACAACAACTACCAGACTTTTAGAAGACATCTGAAGGCAGCCCTGTTTAGGGGAGCTTTTAATGTTTTATGAATTATTACAGTATTTTAATATATATTTTTTGGAAACCGCCCAGAGTGGCTGGGGAAGCCCAGCCAGATGGGCGGGGTATAAATAATAAATTATTATTATTATATTATTATTCCTCCCCTTGTTCCCCTCAGCATCGACGGGGTGTTTGAGGTCGCGCTGTACGTCAACGTCCTGGTGTCCCCCGACGGCAGCATCTCCTGGCTCCCCCCGGCCATCTACCGCAGTGTCTGCCCCATTGTGGTCACTTTCTTCCCCTTCGACTGGCAAAACTGCTCCATGGTGTTCCAGTGAGTACTAGTTGGAGTCTCCTGCACCCGTGGCCGTTCCCTGCGTGATTTAGAGGGTGGAGGGGGGTGTCTCAGTGAGGGTGGAGAGGAAGGCCAGTAGATGAAGGGGGACTTATCTGCTCATTCATGTTCCCAGCCCCCCACAAAAGAAAATGCTACTTGTGTTGGAAATTTTAATGTCTGAAGGGGACTATAATATATATTCATTTCTAACTGTGGGCACATTTTTCTTTCTGCATTTATATCATATTAAAATTAATTTTTCATATGCCAGCATATATTTGTTTGTGAATTTACTTATTTAACGAAATGTATCTGTCGTTTGATTGTTAGCTCCCCACTTCTAAGCAGTTGCATAAATTCAAAGTATGCAGCCCTATACACTTGAATTACTTTAGAAAATACCTGTATACATTATAAAACATACACTGAAACAATATACATGATAATGAGAGGATAAACAGGTATTTTAAATAATCATTTTATCCGTTCGTACATTTACTTATATTAGCATGTAACCTGATATCTAAAGTTTCCCCTTTTTATATCTCACACAACCAGTTCCCAACAGTGTAACATTTCTCTAAATTTTCATATTTCTTTAACCATGAATAATATCAATTTAACAATTGCCACCTGCTCCCATAAAGCACTAACTAATTCCTCCTTATTCAGTTTACGGCCATCCTTCTAAGGTCCTTCTTGCTAGAGCTGGAAAATATCCAAACACTTGAGTGAGGATATTCTTCTGTATCCTTTGATCATTCCCATTGCTCAAAAGCATGAAGAGGGATCATTGGTCTACCTCAGTCCAAATATTTCATTTTACAGCCGAAACCACAATATGCTGATAACATCTGGCCTTCCAATAACCCCACCAGATGTGAACCATGGTTACCTAGGACTCGGATCTGATGAACCTTGGTTAGCTGTATATTGTAGCGCAGGAAGGGATTCTGCTCTGGTCTAGAGGCCTCTGGAAAGTGATTGGCTGAATGGCGCTGGTGTCATAGAAGGCCTGGGCAGTAGTTCTCTGGCAGGAATCGTGGCTAAAGAATCCTTGACCAATGGCAATCCAACTTCTAGTTGAAAACACTCAGTGAAAGAGAGTCCCCCACTTTCCAAAGGAATCCATTCCAGCTGTTGAACAGCTCTTACCATCAGAAGGTTCCTCCTAGTGTTTAGTGGGAATTCCTTCTTTTGGAAATTGGTTCGGCTCCTACCCTCTGGAGCGGCAGGAAAAAACCTTACTTGATTTGGCCTTACTGGGTGATTTTATGTTAAGGTCACAGACCTACAATGCCCGTGAAATCAACCTGCTGTTGACCGTCGAAGATGAGGGCAGACAATAGAATGGATCTTTATTGACCCCGAAGCTTTCACAGGTACCCCACCTGCATGCAAGCCGAGGGGACAACGGGTGGGAGGAGGTAATGATGCTGTCCAAATCCTTATAAGAACATCAAAAAACATAAGACTTGTCTTGCTGCATTGCGTTGACTAAATTCAGCCTACAGTTTCCTGCAGCATGAGTTCCATGCCTTCTCTGCAAACTCTCTTCTGCAAACTCTCCAAGGAAAAGGGACACCCTTCCCCTGTCGTTTGTTCCCATCATTTGGTATTTACAGTTAAATTGCCCCTTAACATGGAGGCTCCATTTAATAGTAACTGATAGATATATCCTCAGTGTCAAGTTATTTTTTTAAGGCTTTCTAAGCAACCGTCCGTACCTGCAATGAATCCCACGAGTTGAATAAAGAGGAAGCACATCTTTTTTTTTCTGGTCCTGATCCTACTGCCTGCCAGCTTTGCTGGCAAACTCCCCTGATTTCTAATGTTAGAAAATGTTCAAGGGATAAATCTCTCTCCACCTGGCACCACTCTTTAGGAAATGACAGGGCTGCCTGGAATCCTGAGGGCATTTGGAGGATTTGGAAAACAAAAGCATTTTTGGCACAGATACCACAAAGGCGAAGCATCATTTAGATCGGGGGTCAGCAAACTTTTTCAGCAGGGGGCCGGTCCACTGCCCCCTCAGACCTTGTGGGGGGGGCAGGAACTATATTTCGAAGAAGAAAAATGAATGAATTCCTATGCCCCACAAATAACCCAGAGATGCATTTTAAATAAAAGCACACATTCTGCTCATGTAAAAACACCACTGATTCCTGGACCGGTCCCGTGGGCCGGATTTAGATGGCGATTGGGCTGGATCCGGCCCTGGGCCCTTAGTTTGCCTACCCATGATTTAGATGCTCCCTGGCCCTGGTGGAGGCAGGGCAGTCAAGTTGTTCTGAGTGGGGCGAACGATTTAGCAGGGAAACTGTTTAACTATAAACCATAGAATCATGGAAGTGTAGAATTGGAAGAGAACCTGAGGGCCATCTAAGCTCTGTCCATGAGGTGTAAGTCAGGGCAATTTCGTATAATCAATTTGACATACCAAACCATGAGAAACAGATGGAATAAAGAACTGGAGGTTCCTATCTCACCCAATCAGTGGGACAATGTTTTTAACTTTGGTAGCTAATGTGTCGTTAGATTATGAATTATGTATTATACAACAAAAAGTAATATTTAGAATTCATTGGGCTCTACTACAACCTTGCACAGAAAGGGATGATCTACGACAACAATGCTGCAACATAATAAGGAAATGCTTCTTTGTAAACATGCTTATGCAGTATCCAATGCTTGCAACATTTCTGGGAGGGAAAGTAATTAAGATGTATAAATAAATACTTTGGGGAGATATTTTTAAAACCTAATATGGATAATAATTTAATCCTAAGCCACATCACCAACCATATGAGGTTTTGACTGCGGGTCAAACATAAGTTTAGGGCTGCCCTATTGTCCGGCGTTTTCCTGGACTGTATCCAGGATTCACTCTGCCGGAAATAGGCGTCCAAGGCAGAATTATCGAAAATCACCTAAAATGTCCTGGGGAAACCCGAAAAAAAAAGAAATAATAAATAATAAGTTATTTATACCCCGCCCTCCCCCAGCCAGACTGGGCTCAGGGTGGCTAACACCGGTAATAAAAACAAATTGATTAAAATACATTTAAAAACAAGATTAAAATACAACATTAAAACATTAAGATGCAGCCTCTTCACAGGAGAGAAAGGAAAAGAAAGAGTGTCAACCCACGTCAGAAGTGGGCAACTTTCCTTAAAAGGTCAACTACTTTTGTGCCCAGGTTCCCACTTTTAGAAATATGGCAACCCTAGCGTAAGTGGACTCTTCATGCCCTTATTTCTGCTAAAAAGACATATCAAGACATTGGAAAGATAATACCCATGGCCCCTTTTTCCAAGCTGCATTGCATTATGGGTAACATTCCAGGGGCCACAATCCAGTGGTGAATGGGGCCACGGGCGAATGGTGGGTGGAGCAAATGCATGCAAATTTCCCCTTTCTAGAGTAGGGTAGTTCCTACACAAACTCACACATCCCTCTCCTTCCTCCATCCAGACTGGCAGGAGACATTATCAGAACTCAAGGGCACATTCTAGCCAGGCACAGATCTTTGGGGTGGGTGTGAGGCAGGGCTGAGGAGGAGGTGTGGCTAAGGAAGGGGTGGGGAGAGTCCTGAGGGCTTGGGGGGCTGCACTTGGGGTCCCTCTTCAGCTTTGCACCTGGGAATCACACCTGTCACCTGTTTGCATCCCCCTCTTAATGGCTTCCAAGGTTTGCCTCACTTTGCTCTCTGGCCATGTGTCCCGCCCCCCCCCCCCCCGACTGCTTCTGTGGGTTATTAATAAGAATCACTGCAGGAGAATGTTTGGCATTTGTCATCCCCCCCTCCTTTGTTCTGCTGGCTCCTCTCCTTCCTTCCCTCCCAGCCACTCCTAAAGCTAACAGTTACATTTCAGCCAATTGATCCAGGAACGCAGCCGTCGCCAGCAGCTGCCGCCGCCATTCTCCATCATGCTTTAATAGCATCTCGGAGGTGGAAAAGTTCCTCTTTGGAAGCGAGAGGCTTCCTTGTTTTTTCCTGATGGGGGACAAGCCAGTTATTTTGCACGGTTAAAAATCTATCTCTCCCGCAGACGGCGGGGGGAATAAACAAGAAAACACCAGCTTAATACTGTAACGTGTCACGCTTGGCTTCGTGTTGCAGCCCAGAGAGAGAGAAAAAGAGAGAGAGAGATAAATGTGGGCTTTTATATGGCAGCAGGGCCACTGGAGACCTTCGGGACCAAACACATGGCAGAATCAGCTCTCTCTCCATCAGATTCCAGCTTCTGGCAGAAGTCCCTCTGGGCTGCCAGGCAGTAAGCTGGCAGCTCCTGGCATCCTGGCCCAGATGATCGGATGAGTCTTGCTATTGTGGATATATCGTTCACACAGGGCTCTAAATCCTCACTCAGATCCTGGGCACTTTTCTCAGGGACTGTGTCTGTTCTCTCTCGCGCTCGCTCTCTCTCTCTCTCTCTCTCTCTCTCTCTCTCTCTCTCTCTCTCACACACACACACACACACACACACACACACACACACACCAGGTAGGAAAGGGATTTCTCTCTGCACCTTTATTGTTTGCACTCGTTTCCCCAGCAGCTCGTTCGTCACCAGCAGCTCCCTTCCCCTAGGCTCCGTTCCTCGTCTCAACGTGGCAGCCTGGCTTCAGATCGAGGTGGCCGCCAGGACCAGACTTGGGGACCCCAAAACAGCGGCAGCTGGTGCCCACTGGGAATAGTGGGGCAGTTGGCAGGGAGGTCAACAGTAGGGGGCGCCAGAGCTAAGGGACAGGCAGAGCAATATAGACAGGTTTTTGTCCCCTCCTCACCTTCCTCTCTCTTGATTTCTGCAAGGGCAACACTGAGACGGTGAGAAGGGGGGAGCTGCTGGGTAAAGTGGTGTTTGGGGGGTCTGTTGGGCAAACTGAGGTTGGAGGCTTTAGTGAACAGGCACCTACTGCCCACAAAGATTCGGAAGATGGGCGAGCCTTCAATTGGTCCGGGCAAATGGGCGATGGCTTCTTCTGCAAAGGTGCTTCTATTTAACCGTATTTTTCGCACCATAGGACGCAGTTTTCTCCGTCTTAAAAACTAAGGGGAAATGTGTGTGCGTCCTATGGAGCGAATGCAGGCTCCCTGGCTTTCAGCGATAGCAAGGCAAAGCCTCCGAAGCCTGCCGCTCCGGAGGCTTCCCGTTGCTTCCGCTGAAGCCAGGAGAGTCTGCTCTTTGAGGCTGGCGGGGGGAAAGCAGCGCTTCCCCCATCGCCAGCCCAAGAGGATGGGGGGCAGCAGGAAGGCGCGCGACGCTTCCCGCTGCTCTCCAACCCTCCTGTGGGCTTTTGCGGGAGATGGGGGAATTCCCCCACCTCCCGCAAAAGCAAGGCAAAAGCTGTGCGCTCTTTAAAGGGGCTGCACGGCTTTGCTGGCTTTCTAGGAGGTGGGGGGATTCCCCCACCTCGCAGCAAAGCCTGCAAGAGCCTCGCAGCCTTTACAGAGCGCGCAGCTCTTGGGGCTTTTCCCAAGGAGGGAGAAGGGAACTGACTGGCCGAGTCAGTCCCTTCTCCCTCCTGCGGGCTTTTGCGGGAGATGGGGGAATTCCCCCACCTCCCGCAAAAGCAGGCAAAAGCCGTGCGCTCTTTAAAGGGCTGCACGGCTTTGCTGGCTTTTCTAGGAGGTGGGGGGATTCCCCCACCTCGCAGAAAAGCCTGCCAAGAGCCTCGCAGAAAAGCCTGCAAGAGCCTCGCAGCCTTTACAGAGCGCGCAGCCTCTTGGGGGCTTTTCCCCAAGGAGGGAGAAGGGACTGAACTGGCCGAGTCAGTCCCTTCTCCCTCCTGCGGACTTTTGCGGGAGATGGGGGAATTCCCCCACCTCCCGCAAAAGCAGGCAAAAGCTGTGCGCTCTTTAAAGGGGCTGCACGGCTTTGCTGGCTTTTCTAGGAGGTGGGGGATTCCCCACCTCGCAGAAAAGCCTGCAAGAGCCTCGCAGCCTTTACAGAGCGCGCAGCTCTTGGGGGCTTTTCCCCAAGGAGGGAGAAGGGACTGACTGGCCGAGTCAGTCCTTCTCCCTCCTGCGGGCTTTTGCGGGAGATGGGGGAATTCCCCCACCTCCCGCAAAAGCAGGCAAAAGCTGTGCGCTCTTTAAAGGGCTGCACGGCTTTGCTGGCTTTTCTAGGAGGTGGGGGGATTCCCCCACCTCGCAGAAAAGCCCTGCAAGAGCCTCGCAGCCTTTACAGAGCGCGCAGCTCTTGGGGCTTTTCCCCAAGGAGGGAGAAGGGACTGACTGGCCGAGTCAGTCCCTTCTCCCTCCTGCGGGCTTTTTGCGGGAGATGGGGGAATTCCCCACCTCCCGCAAAAGCAGGCAAAAGGCCGTGCGCTCTTTAAAGGGGCTGCACGGCTTTGCTGGCTTTTCTAGGAGGTGGGGGGATTCCCCACCTCGCAGAAAGCTGCAAGAGCCTCGCAGCCTTTACAGAGCGCGCAGCTCTTGGGGGCTTTTCCCCAAGGAGGGAGAAGGGACTGACTGGCCGAGTCAGTCCCTTCTCCCTCCTGCGGGCTTTTGCGGAGATGGGGGAATTCCCCACTCCCGCAAAAGCAGGCAAAAGCCGTGCGCTCTTTAAAGGGGCTGCACGGCTTTGCTGGCTTTTCTAGGAGGTGGGGGGATTCCCCCACCTCGCAGAAAAGCCTGCAAGAGCGCGCAGCCTTTACAGAGCGCGCAGCTCTTGGGGGCTTTTCCCCAAGGAGGGAGAAGGGACTGACTGGGCCGAGTCAGTCCCTTCTCCTCCTGCGGGCTTTTGCGGGAGATGGGGAATTCCCCACCTCCCGCAAAGCAGGCAAAAAGCCATGCGCTCTTTAAAGGGGCTGCACGGCTTTGCTGGCTTTCTCTAGGAGGTGGGGGGATTCCCCCACCTCGCAGAAAAGCCTGCAAGAGCCCGCGCAGCCCTTTACAGAGCGCGCAGCTCTTGGGGGCTTTTTCCCCAAGGAGGGAGAAGGGACTGACTGGCCGAGTCAGTCCCTTCTTCCCTCCTGCGGACTTTTTGCGGGAGATGGGGGAATTCCCGCCACCTCCCGCAAAAGCAGGGAGAAGGTCTTGGAGTAGCGCACAGGCTGCGTGCAGCCTGTCCACTGCTCCCAGAGCTGGGGGGGGGGGTGGAATCATATTTTTTCCTTGATTTCCCCCCCTGAAAACTAGGTGCGTCCTATGGTCCGGTGCGTCCAATCGTGCGAAAAATACGGTATTAATGGAGCTCAGTACATTTATCTCTCTATTGCTTTCTAAACCCGAGAATGAATCAAGTGATAGACTATTTCAATTTGCGGCTTTCCTTATTTTTTAACCACACCTTAACTCCCTGTTAAAGGTAGCATGCTTCTGAATATCATTGCTGGGAACCACAAGTGTGGAAAGTGCTATTGTGCTCGTGTACTGCTTGTGAGCTACCTATAAGGATCCGACTAGCCACTGTGGCAATAAATTGCAGGGTCAAATAGACCTCTTGACCTGATCCAGTCGGGATCTTCTTATGCTCTAAGGTCCTTATGACTTCTTCCTCAAAGTCTACTTTTATTGTTACCCAGACAAGACTGTCCTGTTTCCTTTACCCTCCAGCTCCCTCTTCTCTCACTTGGTTACATCTTCCATTTTAGGCTGCCCAGTCTAGCAACCAATTTTAACTTGCGAGAAAAACAAAGAGACGGACACAGGCAATTTCACTGGGTATTTTCAACCCCAAGTTGAATTCCATTGTACCTTGGGCTAGTGCAGTGTCCCAAAACAAGCCATGTGTGTAGTGTCAGGAGAAAAGCACTTTAATCTGTTTTCCAGAATCAGTTTTTGTTGTTGTTTTTTTGCTTGAAAATCCACATGGGACTTCTTCTTCTTTCTTTTTTTTACATCAATATAATAAACTTGCCTGAGGTACAAAAAAACACCAAAAAACCCATAACTTTCCATTTTTGTTTACAGGAAACAAGATGTAAATGATAAGCAGCACATGAATGTGTGTAGAAGGAAGGTGTCCAGCATCTACCAATCCTTCAAAGTGCCTCTAACTCTAGCCCACCAGTTCACACCTGAAAATCTCCCCTTGCTGCTTTCATACCTCCTTCATCTGTTAAACCCCACATCAAACCTGTTTCTCCTACAAAGTTTTCTTTTATGATCAAGAGTAACTATAAGTAGTAGAAGAAAGAACAAAAAGGCGTTTTTTTCTATTTAAAAAAAAGAGGGGGAGAAAGTTACACAAAAATAGAAGCAGTTCCTATTTCCAGAGAATTTCTTTTCAGATAATTGACTTTAACACACCCCTCAAGCATTACATGATAATATTTGTAACCCAACCTACAGAATCTTACTGCAATCATATCAGTGTTTGCTCACCTGCTACAGCACTTTTGTTTAAACAGCTATTATTAAAATGCTGCCTCTTAGATTTGATAATGCTCTCTTGGGCAAGCTGCAAATGAGGGGACAAAATTTACAGACTGGTGTATGGTTTTTGTCTACTCTAACTGGGGGCTCCTTTGAAAAATAAGTACTTTAAGAGTCTGGAAATGCTGA